TACGACCATGTGGGGGAGGGGTTTATGAAGCTAGAAGAAGAATAGAAGTTCTTAAATGTCTCTGTACTTAAACAGATTGCATAACTCCCAATGTCTCTCGCTTTAGGATGACTGGAGGCTCAGGATATTCAAAAGAATGTAACAACGTTATTCACCGCAATATTTGCATTAGTAATCTCATCTTTGTTGTTTCAATCACGGCGTCTGGTGCATTGTTTACGTTTTTTTTTTTACTTTCTTAAAATATCGCATCGTCTGAATAAACTGACCCCCCACTTCATACAGAGTAAATTAGGAGCATTACCAGTTTTGATTTTTCTAAAACATCCATTCAAGACGGAAATGCTATGAACTAAATGTTGTTTCATTAAGCCGAATTTTATATAAGGATGTTTCATTAAGACGGATCAAAGTCCACCTAAATAAATCAGTGTTATTGGTGAAACGGCATTTAATATTATTGGATAATGTTATTTAAGACATTGCAATTACATATGAAAAATAATATCGCCCAAATGTCCGCCAGATCTGAAAGAAAAAGAAAAAAATCATTATATGTTTAAGTTTAAATCACATTGAAAATCAGACCAAGTTATTTGAACACCCTTTATATAAAAGAGAACATGTTAAAGCAGCTGATATGTTCCTGAAAGTTGATTTTTAGAAAGATGTAAATTGAAATAGTGGCTGTCATAAAAATGGGAGTTTCTATGTTGTGTAGTATCATATTTGTTGGAAAATAGGTGGGAATATTTGCGTACAGATGATTTTCATTTAGCCTAAAATATATTTCCATTTATACGATCAAGAGTCACATAGCTCTTCCTTTTAATATGTTTGGCTGTGAAACATAAGTTTTCGACAAGCTTTTCATATGCTAGAACATTTCTTACTGTTTTCCATTTCTTAGCTGTAAATTATATACCGTTGTTTTCAAAAACACATTGCACATTTCGTTCTTTTTGATCAATTTTCTCAACAAATCTGTACTTAAACAACGCCCAGTGTGAATTGGATATATGAATATACAACGTAATAAACACTAAATTTATGTATGTACATATTATGGTAGCTTATTCTTCTTTAATATTTCATCTAAGAAGAGAAAAAAACTTCTAATATATTCTTCTTCTTCTTCTTCTTCTTCTTCTACTTCTTCTTCTTCTTCTTCTTCTACTTCTTCTTCTTCTCCTACTCCTCCTCCTCATTATTATTATTATTATTATTATTATCTTTGATTTCTGGTGTATACTAATTTCTTTCCGGGTCCAAACCAGATACCTAATATCAAAAATAGCGTTATAGAATTTTCCACTTAGCATTTTTTGTAAAAATCAAAAACAAAATATCATAGATATGCCCACGTAAAGTGTGAACTATTTTTGTGAGTACAATTTTTTGTATTTTTTTAAGGCTTGGACTAGTAGCGAACATTTCAGTGTTTCTATCGGAAACTTTTCGAATCAAATCAACTAAAACTGAGATTGTTGATATCATCACATGTTACATTTATTTATTATTATTATTATTATTATTATTATTATCATTATTATTATTATTATTATTATTATTATTATTATTATTATTATTACACGCAGGCAATTTAATATTTCAAAGTAGATATAAGTAAGACATTAGCATGAGCAAGAAAATTATACAGCAAACGACACATCTACATTGGTAGATTACGTGAAGAATATGGAAGATTATAACTTACTAAAGTTCCTTCTCTTCGACGAGCTTACCATTTGCCAGCAGTAAAAAAGGTCGAACGGAAGATAGAGAAGGATTCGTGGAACCAACCTAGCGCCTGTAGACAAGAGTGGCTGACGAAAGTGTGGCGTGATGATTGGCCGTTAGATTTTCTGTCTCAAGAAGTTAGAAGAAAGTCCAAAGGGATAATTATAAATCTGCTTCTTTCAATGACAGAGCAAATGAAGACGCCATTACCGAATCGCCTTTAAAACTTTCCATATCGTAGATAGGATTTCATTCTTAATATGTAATAGTTAGAAAATCTATTCATAAAGTGTATGTGTTCATGTGCACAGGAACACTTACATACATATATACATACATATATATATATATATATATATATATATATATATATATATATATATATGTATAGTTCTGGTGTTAAGAAAATATTGTTCGATGTAATACAAGAGAGTTAATAAGTACATTCTAAATATATATATATATATATATATATATATATATATATATATATAATTGATAAATATATATATATATTAATTGATAAATATATATATATATATATATATATATATAAAATATGCCATTCAAATATATATATATATATATATATATATATATATATATATATATATATATATATATATATATATATATATATATATATATATATACTAGCAGTAAGCCAGACGTTGCCCGGGGATGTAACAGTATGAGTTGGGGACGGCTGTTGCTTTGAAAGATGTGCTTTGTAAGTCGACAGGAACTAAGTTTCTACAAAACGTTGAAACGCTATGCACACAAAGTTTAGGCAGACATCATGCAGGCCCAAGTATTCGAAGGTATCGAAGGAAGTAACGGAAAGCCGTTTGCCATTACTAAGACAAGTATGAGTAAAAGCTGGCAGCAGTTACTGCTTTAACCTATTGGATCGTTAAGCATTACTGAAAGCACTTGTGGTAAGTAGTCCTGAAACCACGATTTAGTTGCAACATACATAGGGATTGAAGGGAAAACAAACGCGATGATGGCGGGTGATGGTATGAAAGTCAGAAGGCAGCAAAAGAGCTGGATAACCTTTACAAAGACGTCTTAGTAATGGCAAGTGGAGACTACGATGACCTAACGTTAAAACCAATATGACAAACAAAAAAATTGCCATGCAATCGGACTGCATATGTGTGCATGGTGCTTAAACGCTACCGGGCGGGTTGTCTACAGGACCTCCGTGTAGGTTATGTTTCTAACACAGTTGTTGGGAGAGTAAATGAAAACCCTGTCCTTAGACCCAACTCGTGAGCACCCAACGTAAAGTTGGCCGTGAGAGAAGCACTGCTCACGTAAATGCAGACCTGCGATGCTAAGCGTCTGTCCTTGTGATTTGTTAATCGACATAGCAAAACAAATCTTCACGGGAAATTGTGAGCGACGAAAGTTGATTGGTATGCTTGCGTCTGACGACAGAAGATGCATCCTGGGAATCAGAACGACTCCCCCCTTGCCGCAGCCAGTTGCAATGGTCACCTCAATCAGGTTCGGAGAAAAGGGATTTAATAATGAGGCGAGTCCGTTGCACTGTTTAGGTGGGAGCAAATTCCTGATTAGCATAATCGGAGCACCAACTTTGAGACGAAGAAATATGAGGTGGGAGTCCGGACGGCTGAAGGGGTTCAAAACTTCTATGGGATAATCAGCTAATTCAGATGGATCGGAAGTTCTGTCGATGGACTTATAAACATGACATTGCCCGGGAATGCAATCCAACAGTTTAAGGTTGATGGAATCAACTGTACAGTTCTTCGGTGCCAATATGGCCCTCCCAGCAAGCCTATCGGCATCGGAAAAATTAGATGATAGGTTGTAGAAGACTGCATTCATCAATACATCCGGTGATTCAACAGTGGTGGCAAGCTGATCCATCTTCACAAAACTGTGTGTGTCAGATGGCATTATCCCCTCCCCAAGAGCAAGAAGGTCCCGTGCGAAGTCAGCGGATCTGAAGTCCCCATTCAAGTAGGCTGATGTTCGTGCTCAGTTTAAGAGTCTCCACGTGGTGCCAAAGGGCAGACGACTTCAGGCAGGCGTGGACAGCGTCAGCGCGTGTACCTTTAGGAATAACAGGTAGAGTCTGTCTAAAGTCGCCTGCGAGGAGAAGTGTTACTCCACCCATGGTGTCGGAGGAGTCGCGGATGTCTTGGAGACTTCGGTCAAGTGCCTCAAGGGCGCCCGTGTGTGCCATCGTGCACTCATCCCAAACTATAAGTTTGCATCTCCGCAGAAATTCAGCCTGTGGCGAATTCTTTGTTATGTTGCAGAGAGGAGTTTGTGACCGGCATAGATCAAGCGGCAACCTAAAAGCCGAATGAGCGGTTCTACCTCCCGGTAGCAATGTTGCAGCAATCCCGGAGGATGCGACCGCAATAGCGATCTCCCCACGACGCCGTACCTCTGCCAGGACTAATTTAGTAACAAAAGTTTTGCCAGTTCCTCCAATGGCGCGGTTTGCCCTGTCTGTTATAGTAGTGAAAGCAACCCTCTGATCAGGTAGAAGTTTGGGCTCATTTTCGGTAATGTATGCATTCAGCCCCTCGATGGAGTAGGATGTTTCCCGCAATAACTCAGTTGGTACAGTGTCAAAACCATCTCTGAGCGGTGGTGGTAAACGGTAAGTTGGTAAAGAGGCACCTCCCAGTTCGAAAACAACATCTTCTAGGGCCACCAGCGCTCTGTTGAATATAAAGTCAGTGAAACCGCATTCAACTTTTGGGCTGTTACGCTGAACGGAGAACAGCACATCCTCTGACATGGATTCTCTGTACTTTAGCCAGAGCGACAGAGGATCGCTTAGTTCGCATCACAAAAGCAAAATGGCGAATAGCGTTCGAAGCCGAGATGGCGTTCTGGGAAGTTCAGCCTCCGCTATGGCTGCATCCCATTGGGAGTCGTCTTCAAGCAATCCCAAACAGAAGCATGCCTCTCTATAAGACTGGAATTCTATGCCTTTGACAGTGCGAATATCTGTGAAACTCGTTGGCCCAGCAATTTCATGAAGTAGAAGGCGGAGGTAAAAACACTCCTGCTGGCTGGGGGGCACAGTATAAACGCGTCCAAGGCAAAAGTTAGACCTTACATCGGGATAACCCTCGACAGGGTCACCAGCCTTTCGTCGAACCCACCGGTTGTTCGGCCACACATAGTAGGACGGGACTTAGGGGTATATCAATGTTTTGGCAAAAGCATCTGTTGAGCATAATTTAAAGGAAGCAGTTAGGGTTGTGTCTTTAGGGTTTTCCGCAACCTGCATTTTCTAAGTGAATAGCAAGCTGCACAATGACTGGAGCCTTTTGGTGTACGGGGAATCCGAAAATTCGCCAAAAGGCCTCGCTACTGCTGAGATAGCGTCCAGCCACGTAATCGGTCACCTCGTCAACGCAATTGTCGCACCGGATACCGAAGACAGCTGCATCGCTTCCTTTATTAACGTACTTGCAGATGTACTTTATTGACTTAACCGAGTGGCAGTATTCAACGTTTATGTAGGCTCCAAAAGTCTTGGACAGCAGCGGGCAATAAGTCACCACCCACCTATTGTCCAGAGTGTGCCCCTTAACTGTCACAGTTCTGCCGCCCTCAGCGGGGCTTCTACGTCTGTACAGTGGGTAACCATCCGTCGCAGTCTGCGTTTCTGAGATAAACTTACGGGGGTAACCCTTTGCACAAGTGGGGCCGCTTGACCAACATGACCTTTTTTCGTAATTCGCACCACAGGGGCCGTGTATCATATTTTTCTTAATGATTTCGTGGAGCAAAGGCTCCAGCGCAGGATCCGGAATTTCAGCAGAAATAAAATTGTCTATTTTGTTTGCGTCAACCTTATCGTTGAGCCACAGCAGGATGTGGGCATGAGGCAAACCGCGTTTCTGCCATTCCACTGCGAACATATGACACTTGGCGCGTCCGAAGACTTGCCCTTTAAGGATCAAATCCATAAGCTTACGCAGCTGTAACTGGAAAACGCGGGCAATTAGGTCAGGGTGGTGTGAGTACTGCTGGCCTGGAAAAAGTTCGCGTGTAATATCAACCCATTTCGGATTGCACGTGAACGTGATGAACAAATCAGGCCTCCCACAATGACGGACATAGGTCATTGCGTCTTGTGTCCTTTTATGCATGTATCGAGGGCCACCGGTGTAAGAGGAAGGCAAAATGAGTCAGTTAGAAGTTTGGATTGGTTTAACTTGAGGAATCCTAACCTCTCTGACTCCATTTTTGCAGCCATGTCAACAGCGAATTGAAGAAATAGTTGACGGCACCTGTGCAAGTGGTTAATTTCACCCTCCCTAACCATAAACATGTAGGCGTAGTAAGCCCTACAGGAGACTGTCTTTGAGGTCGACATGGAATCGCTGCTTGCCTGGCATATTGGGATTTTGAAGTGGTACCCATCGCTTCCGTATGGAAAAAGAAGGGGGTACTGGAGACAGTCGTATGAACGGTGGGTTTCACTGATGAGGCGCAGACCACCGCCCCGGTATTTTATGACAATGTCACAGCTGTTATGCTCCTCACTGTGGATGACTGCGGCAATTTCATTACATACAGGAACACTGAAGCGACGCTCATGCTCACCGTGTCTGCATCGATGACAACACTGAAAGAGGGCAAAGAGTTGTTTTGCAACGCAAACTTTAAGCTTCGGATGTAACTGTTAGTTTCGTGAAGCATGTCTTGTAGACGGAACAGAATGTCTCTACGGGGACCGATGGAAATATCGCTAGGCAGAATGCCGAGACGCGCATCAACCTGCTCGTTGTAGTCTGCGAGAAAGTAAATTTGTAGGAACTGAGGTGGCTCTCCCTGATCAGCCAAAAGTTATCCCATTAAGTGGTAAACCTGGCCTTGCACTTTGAAAGTAGGCATCCATTCCCCTTCACTAATAGCCTTCGCACCAAAAGACGTCACCTGGAAGCAACTGTTATACTTCCGTATTGCTTCAAGAAAATGCGTTGACTCCGAAGTTGTACCCAGAAGGAGGTCCCTAAGTGTCTGGGGAGGCTCGTCTAAAGAAGGGAGTTTGATTTTGCCCCCAGAGCAACAAAGCCCAGGTTGCTCACCGGCCCACTTTTGTGCGTTGCAAAAAGTGCAAACTTTATCCATAGCCCCTATTTGTACGTCTCTCCTAGCGGAATAGTTGACAGTGCAGTCAATTGTATGCGACATTTGACCAAAATGATGCAGACGGCAAAGTTACGCCATTCAAAGAAGCTCGAAATGAGCTAATGTTTTCGAGCCGTTGACGGCGTACTTCAGAGTTTTCTGCAACCCTGGCAGATGCAGTAGAGCGGGCATTTCTAACGCGACGAACAGTGGTCTGTGCAGGGCTTTCTAGGGTTCTAGCAGATGCAGTGGAGCGGGCATTTATAATCCGACGAACAGTGGTCTGTGCAGGGCTTTCTAAGGCTCTGGCAGATGCGGTGGATAGGGCATTTCTAAAGCGACGATGAGCAGTTTCTTGAGGTTGTTCCAAAGCTCTAGAGGCGGCTGTAGCCCTAGTATTCCTATGACGACGTGAAGTTGTTTGTTCAGGGCTTTCTAAACTCCTGGAGCAAGCTTTGACGATGGCATCACGCAAACGACGAAGGGTTTTCTGTGCTGGGGACTGTGAAGCCCTCAACCTAGCCACGCGGACTGCGCCCTGTGAATTCTGAAGTGAACGCTCTTCAACTGAAAGCCTGGCGTGGCGTGAGGACATAGTTGAAGCCGCTGAAGCCAACCTTTCAGTCCGCGCAGCGGCGCCCATGGATAAGCGAGCAGCTGAGCTCGAGGCCATCTGTGAAAGACGCAAAGAAGTCTGTTCAGGGGTTTCACTCGCCCTCGCTGCTCTAGCAGCGGAGGCAGCTGCCGTGCGCCGTCCCAAAAGTTTCCTTTTTTTAGGTGGCATCCAAACAGTAAAAACGTCAAAGAGGGTAAAGCTTAAAAAGAGATTTCGACAAATCCAAAAATCGTGCACTGCTAACGTAGACACAAAAGTGGAACACCCAGTAAAATGAGTTCAGATGTTACTAAAGGGGAACTCGAAACTAAAAAAGTGGAAATTTAAAAAGGTATACCAAGGGTAAATCCAAAAGGAAATGGATTTTTAGTACAATTGGCTAACGTGTGTAGGGTTGGGTTGGAACTATAAAACAAAAAAGCAGCTAGAACACGTAATAACAAATTGCGGTATCCGAAGTTGGCGAATAAAGTAGGCCAAGTACGTGCACGTGGGCAACAATAAACGCAAAAGTGTGAAAGCACGCCCGAGTCACGCAGTAGAGATGGTTGACCTTGAGTGACGTTCCACTCTCTATTAAAAACATCGGCCAGCGAAAGAGGAAATCACGGTAGATATCGGTGTCATTAATGTAGGGGAAAGGTCGGTAATAGTGACCGTCCCCTCTCAACACAAACCTTAGGTGAAAGAAGAGAGAATGAGAATACCCCCTCTCTCTCTCTTAGCGAATATTGCGTATCCTGTTGCGTTAGTGCGTGTATGGAGGCCGTCCGTAAGAGGAGGAGGGGGATGACCTTGGCGCCCGAAAAGCACCAACGTGTGGACAATTATTTGAAGGTTAAAATGTCAATTATGAGTCGAAGTTCGCTGATGAAACGACGAAAATTCTCGTAAACCCTTAAGCAAGACATACAGAAGCCCCTCGTGAAAGACTTACCTGCAGGAACCAAAAAAAAAAAAGGAATTTAGCAGAAAAGTCGGGTTTTTAAGTTAAGTACTGTGTTCTTTCCTTAATAATTTTCATCTTCGAAATATTTTTGTCTATCAGATTTCTTACGTCGGCATTTTTAAATTCTTTCTTAATACTTTCTTTTAAATATTGAATTAATTTCAAATAGAACCAATTCATTCGTTGCCTTGTACCAAATTGCAAAGGGAATTATAAAAACGGCCCTAAAGAAATATCTTATGTTTGGATCGTACAATCAGTAGAGATCGTTAGATTATTGTTTAAGGTTAATTAGTTTGTTTTTTTTTTTTACGAATTGGTCAAACCAAAACTCAAACCCAAACTCAATTTCAATCGTTATGGATCTACCAATTGATTAGAATTTTATTATAAACAATTGTCTTGTAAATGGAATTTTTAAAGCATTCTGAATGTAAAAATAAAGTAAAAAGTGCGCAAGAAAATAAGAAAAACTACCTGCCAAAAAAAAAAGTGAAGTTTTGTTGATATCGGTTAAAAATTATAGGAAATCCGATCCCATATATAAATGAACACACACACACACGCACACACACACACACACACACACACACACACACAAACACAAACAAACTGGGTTTTTAAGCTGAAGTGAGTTGTCCCCCTTTCATTAATGCCTCTTAATCGTGTTTTCAAATTGATTTTCTGCAAAAATCAATTCGGTTTTTGCAATTTTTGGCGCCGTTAGAACCACGGCTAGGTAATTTTATGTAGTCCTGTGAAGTTTTGTTGAAATCGGTTGAAAAATGTAGGAAATTCGATCCAAAATATAAACGTTACAGACACACACACAAACACAATCTGCGTTTTATAATAAGTAATATATACACAAACCTTGGTATCAACCTAACGACGATTTTTATATTTTTATCAAATTACTTCTTAACGGCTTATTTTAAATAACTAAGGAACGCTATTTTATTATTTTCGAAAATAAATAAACAAACTCGCTACGTTTGGTGTAATAGACATAGAGGAGGAGGATGTGAAGAAGAAGAAGAAGAAGAAGAAGAAGAAGAAGAAGAAGAAGACGAAGAAGTTGATGAACACAGCAAGGCTATTGTAAATCTATCGATGTTGTGTTAATTGAAATATACATTACTTATTTATCAAGCCTCATATGTGGTTAAGTGGAATTTTCTGTTATTTAAGCAAGGACTATATATATATATATATATATATATATATATATATATATATATATATATATATATTTTCACTTAAAATATATGGGAATTAACTAATCCCAATGGTAAAATCCTCAGTAGCCATTCAACAATCTTTCCGATTGGACAGAGAAAAAAAATAACTAGCAGATGATTTCGAAAATGACCTCCATCAATTGTTAATTTGTGCAAGAAATATCTTGTAAATTTTAATGTCTTCAATGCAAACAAATGTATCGTCTAGTCATCAGAGTAAACTATTTTTGCCTCCAATATTATTAATAACGCCACCACTAGCAGGGGAACTAATTGCGCCAACTCGGTTTAATGTTTTCCACTAACATGAAATGGTTTGATTGTATTAAATGAATTGCTAGGTCTGCTCACAGTAGAATTATTTCACTGTTTCGTGTCAGGAAATTTCTCTCGGCAGAATCCAGCTTGCGCGTTTAGAGATTATCATTCTTCAATCCACAAAATACTGGTTTAGAGATCCTGCTATATATCTCGAGATTCTTGGGAAAATAAAAAAAGATAGATGTCTATAATATTATCGATCCTAAATTTTTATCTCAATTTCAGTCATTTCTCAACAGTGTTACGTTGTTCCACTGTCTTTTCCATAAATAGTTTCATGATCATTCATTCTTGTTATCTCGACCTAATGAATTTAAGTGCACTTTTCATTTTCTTCCTGGTGCTTGCTTTTCCTATCGACGATCTTAAAAAGAATTAAATGCAACGTCAATCAGCGGCTGTTCTTTTATTGTCCTGTTTTATAAATAACGTCTACTTTTTTTTTTGCACTTTTTTCGTTTTGCAATCATCTTTTCTTGCGTTTTCGTGTCATTATCACTGTTCTGGCAGGAAAATGAGTAAAATAAAAATGGATACTTGAACACTGATGGAAAGAAGTCTGTTACAATAACCGAAACCTGATTTCAAAGGACAATTGCCCAAAATAAGCCCTCTAAGTAAAATTTATATGTGAAGAGGAAAATACATCATGTGCTGTTCACCAAATTGAAAATTAAATTTTAAAATATGCTGAAATTTACATTTTTTTTTATTCAAGAAACCGTTAATGGTGATTACCTGATGTATATGGGTTCGAGTATTCCACATGTAATTTCGTATTTATGAAACCAAGTCTGTTTTAATAGACTGGTTCAAAAACACATAATTTTGATCATTTCTTTTTACTTATATTATTTATATTGGGAGTATAGCATGTATCGTTTCTTGGTTAACGCAAGTTGCAGAAGGAAACCGCGAAATTATGTTAACAGGTTCATCAGGTAATTGATTATTGTCCCTATTCACAACGTTTCAGCCTTCTTTAAATGATTAGAATTTCGAAACGAACCCTTTATTTCGTCCACCGAAGTAGATAGTTCTAGATCAACGGGTCGGTTATTTCCCTTTAACTCAACTCTCCAAGTTTTGGTACATCACTTCTGTAGCCAGGTAGTGAACCCACAACTCTTTGGGACTAGGCACTGGATCTAACCAATACCTTTATCTAATTCTTGAGGACATCTGTGTATGAATTTTGGGGACTTATGAACCTGATTTCGCAGCAATTACAATCACCTGAAGAAGGCAGGAGCCTACAACGGTTGAAATTTTAGGAATATCGCAATGAAGATCCTAATAGCAGTCCGAATAATGTAAATAATATAAGATATGTTTTTTTTGTGTGTAAAATAGGCATAATGTATCAATACATCATTTTAAGATAAGAAACTAATTTCACATTGTATATGCAGCCTGTTCACCAGATTAAAGAATAGCGAAATTCTCCCTAAGCTATTTATATTAACTCTTTACCAGCGAAGATTTGACTACAAAGTCATGCCTCTGTATACATTCGCATATCACGACTTCGGCGATTAACGTTGAAAAATAACAGATACAAGTATTTTCAATTTTTCATACCGTGTCAAATCTATTCTGTTTTCATCGCATTTGTAACATATTAAAATTAATTTATAGAAAAAATTTAAGCAAGAAGCTAACTAAAATAATTGTGATTTTCAACATAATTAACGTGTTGACCTAAATTGCAGTCGTAAAAGATCAAGTCAAAGTTACCAGTGATTCTCAACACAATTTCATAGATCTTTTAGATTCTAGCAAGTTCATTTACGAACTTAATATATATTTTAAATTAATATTCACCGAAAAAAAGCATAAGAGTCACTCAAGATATATGGTTACTATTAAAATTGTAATGACATACGAGGTGTAGAAAATGGATTGTTCCATAATTTTAAGAAGTCAATATTGATGTATTCGGACAAGAAAAACTGGAGGCATTGATTTACAAAGTGTATATGCTTGTGAAAAAATCGATCTGATTGGAATTACGTACATTTGGAACACGGGGGAAATTAGGGCGATTCGATGCCGTTGTGGTCGCATGTTGTATCCAGGTCATAAATGTCTAAACAAGTAGAATTGCATATCTTAGTGTGTATGCGTGTATATTTGTGTACTCGTGCGTGCCTTCCTGGGTTTGTACGATCGCGCACACGTGTGTAACCAAGTCGTGAAATGTTTTCTTCCGCAGCCATTTTCCATAATCTGTACTTTTGAATATGTTTTTTTACTCTTTTGTGGTCTAGTCGAGATCTTTCAGTAGGCCATTGTATAAACGAAAATGCTTTGCTTCAGGTTATAGGTATTGAACAAGTTTGTCAGTCGAATGAACGTTCTTGATAAATTTCCTTTGTCTTCTAGTTTCCGTCGAGTGACTTTAACTATCAAATCTAAAGGAAATCTACTAGAATATTCTGGAGGAAAAGGAAAGAGTTTTATTAAAACATTCTACAGTTTATCAAATTTAAGTGGCATAGAATTTCGCACAGGGACGAAAACAATCATTAGATGCGAAAAGAGTTTTTGAGAAACAAAAAACTAATTTCTTTCAAATGCTAAATGAACTCTCACCAAATTGGTAAATTCATATTCTGAGATATTCTATACGTTATTTCAAAGATTATATAATATTTATTGTGCAGACTCTCCAGTGGGTTATGGAACATGAGAGGATTCATTATATAAAAGTAATAACGTATACGACTAGTACTTAAAGCTTGATAAATTATACCTTTTTAAGCATCGCATATCTACGAGCAATCATGGCTTTCTTGTTACACACGGAATCGTATATATGTTGATCAACAATATATGTTTTTATAAATCAAGAACAGTATTGAGTAAATTTTATGAAAAAAGTGGAAAAAGTTTACTTCGGATGCGTTTCACCTTTCAAGATGTCATCGGACATTTGTTACGTTGGTAGGAATACGCATGCGCACAAGAGATCGGTGCTAGAAATTTTAGATTTTTTTTTTTAATTTTTTTTTATCATTTTCAATAATACCAGCACCCCTCTGTCGTGTCTGTATGTGTATGTCTGTTATATATATATATATATATATATATATATATATATATATATATATATAAGAGAAAGAAAGAGTAAGATATAAAATCCGGTGTTCATATAGATATTTTTATTTTTACAAAATAGTGCTCAATGTAAATTTACAGAGCATTAATATTATAAATTAATTGATTTAATTGATTTAATTGATTTAAAATATGGTTTAAATCAATTAATTTATAATATGATAGATAGATAGATAGATAGATAGATAGATAGATAGATAGATAGATAGATATATGCATGTATTTTTGAATCAGGATGCCAGGAAAAGTCAACTAATTAATACTTCTGTCTATTGTTATAAATAGTAAGAATTTTGACTTTTAGTGTGGACCGTTTTCCTATTTTATCGAGGTCCCTCTCTTCATATCGCCTCAATGTTCTAGAGTCCTTGTATATCAGATCCCGTTGTCCTTCCCTTTGCAAACAGAGGGAATGCTTACTGGATCTGAATGTTATTGGACTTTAGCTTTCTTGAAAGTCTTTTTTTTTCTTTTCTCTCCATTTGTTATCAATTATATCAATTAACACTATTTGCATTATTCGGAATATTGTCCGTATCTTTGTCGCCGTATTTCTTACAATGTTTCTGCCATTGTACGCTCCGGTATTCTTGAGGTGGTTGGAATGTCGAAATTAACCGGGCATTGAATTCACACTCTTTGGGTCCTGTCACTGGATCTAAACTTTATCCACTGTGGCATGTGTTCTCGAGGACGTGGAGAACTTGGAGAGGGAATTAACAGGAGATAACTGATATCTATTAAATTATGGCACGTGGAACTAGAACAGTCTACCATAGTGAGCGAAATAAAGGGTTCAGTTCGACATTCAAACCACCTGAAGAAGGCCGGAGAGTACAAAGACCGAAACGTTGTAATGATTATGGCGACAAAGATGAGGATAATAGTCCGAATAATATAAATAGTGTACATAATAACTAATATTTCCATATGACAAAATAGATCACGCAGCACTGAAATAATCAGGATAGGCATTATTCCATAATATAATAATATAAAAATAAATGCGGGCATAACATTCAATGACATCGACAGATACTTTTCAAAATCAAGCAAAGGACTTAGAATCTTCAACAAAAATGCTCAAGGTTCTACATATAGTAATGGTAATGTCATTAGGCGTTCCTTTAGCTTCACCGAAAACGTTGTACCTATCCTAAAAACAGAAAAATCCTGCACTTTACAAACTACCACAAAACTCATGGGCTTCCATCCGCTGTGTTCACTCACAAACTAGCGTAATATTCCAAGCGATTTTTATATTCTGATCAGAAAAAAAGATATAGGAAGAATAAACGGTCCCGAGAGACTCATGCAAAAAAGCATTTAACATTAAACATTTAACATTAATCATTTAACGATAAAAATATCAGTTAGTCATTTATGTGCCATGCGTGATACACGCGTAAGCGATCATCTATCTTTCGATACGTAACTGACGAGGCAGATTTTTTTCCCGCAATAAGTTGTCATTTCTTTCTGCGTTAGACCAGTTGCCATCCAAGATTGAAGAACCCGGTCTGTCCTGCTATTTACCCATAGCTGGGGGGAGAAGATTAGGATTCATACTTTTCCTAATGGTATTAGCATGTAAGGGAATGTAATGGATTCGACTGGATTTCGAACTCGACTCGCCAATTCCTCAATTCGGTATACATTTGCGGAAAGCAAATTACTCTGAAAGTATATTTGGAAAATAAACTCAGAGAAAACAAACGTTCTTGTTCCACGTCCCATGCTTCTTCATGATATTTCCTTTTATTTATTATTTCCCTTTAATTCAACTCTCTCAAGTTTTTATTTATCACTGCTGTAGCCAGTTATTGCACTCGCAAGTGTTTGGGTCTAGTCACTGGACCTAACCAAAGTCTTTATCCAATAAACAACGTCTTTGTCCACGTGTTTCCTTGAGGACATCTGTGTATGAATTTTTGGAACATATAAAACTAATGACTCAGCAAATACACTTTTACCAGTGCTCATATTGCAATTTTTCGATACCAGAATTGGGAACAAAATTCGAACTCATTGCCAAATCCAGGCACGAAACAAATTCTTGCTGTGCTAAAATCATTAATAAATTGACAGAAGAAAATTTAATATCTAAATCTTTTTTTCAAATGGCAAATCTCAGAAAATATTAAAGAATGCTGATATTTAATGAAAAAAGATAAATAAAAATAAATTAAAATTGTAAATGAAATATTCATGCCTTAATTTATGAGATAGACATATATCATATTTACATGCGGACAAATATCCCCATTTTTCTTGTTGTTATCCTAACCTTTAGACCGTTTTGCACATCAGGTTTCATCAGATATGTCTACACGAATCGAAATCCAAAATTAGCAAGATTAATTTTCATTTGCAAGTTGCTTGGATCGACTAGCACCTGAGAAATAGTGAATAGCCCAACAACTGAAACGTTGTGAGAACAAAAACAAAGGTGGGGGGATAATATTCCCCATGAAAATAAAATTAAAATAAATATCTAAAATAAAATGAAGTGGCTTAGAATCAAGAATAAATAATATGAAAATCTAGTACTAAAAGAAAGAAAATGTTAGAAATCTGGGTTTCCACTTAAACTACGTACCATGTAAACCTGAAACCGATGTTCTTTTAACTTCTTTTAATTAGTACTACACGCACTTGAAAGAATCCAATAAAAACACCTATAATAAAATAAAATAAAAATAAAATTAATATGAAATGGAATAAGATGTAAGCTTTTGAATGACCCATAACCTTTGTACTTACCTGAGAAACAATATATTACTAGATTTATATATAAAATAAAAGTTTACTAAATCAGTGAAATTAAGTAACCATTTTTGCCGTATGTAACCTCATATACATACTTAAACTTGATGTTAAAATAATCCTACATAATATAATGGAGTCTAATACATTTAACTCTTCTTAAAAAGAATATAGTATAATAAAAATTAAAAAATGAGAATATTTTCAAATCGTAGTTAAATAAAAAAATTATGATCTGAACACCCCCGAAAATCTTTAAATTTATAAAGGGAAAAAAAAAATGCCGTAAGAATTTTTTTACCGTTAACAATAATTTTTAAAAAAAAATCCAGACAACATGCATTGAACGGATGTCAGTTTTCATTGAAAAATACATCACTACCCCTTACCAAATTGTAGCTAATAACTGATACAATGATACTGACATAAGGAATACCTAGACATCCCTTGTCCAATTCAAGTAGAATATTCTGTAACCATGGAAACGTGATTTTAGCTGTGTCTTTAAAACCCAGTAATTTTTTAAAAGTTACTCCATAATTCGCTTGAGGATGAAATGGAACTAATGCTTTTAATTTAATTGCAAAATTAAATTCGGGGATTTTAGCTTCTATTTTTGAAACATGGTTAGCACTGTGTAGCGAAAAAACATATTTTAAATCAATTAATTTATTATATATATATATATGTGTGTGTGTGTGTGCGTGTGCGTGCGTGCGTGCGTCTCTGTGTGCGTGCGTCTGTGTGTGTGCGTGTGTTTATGTGTATGTGTCTGTGTGTGTTTGTGTGTGGTAGAATATATCCATTGTTATACTTATATGGGAATGAGAATATATGGAATCAATATATATGTATGTAGGTGGTAATTTGTCTGCGAATAAAGTCTTGTCGGTAAAGAGCTCTATCTGAGAAAATTTCTATTGGAGGAGACAGACTCTGTCAGAAAACTCGAAATTCACATATCGATCCCGAGGATTGCAAAGAAAAGACAGAGAAAGATAACGCCCCCTCCACCTAAAAAAAAAGAAATAAAAGAATATGAAAGGAAATAGATTTTTTGTTTTTTTTTGTTTTTTTGGCGGGAAGTATTAGAAATCTCAGAAATGTATCTAATGGCGTCGCGGTGAAAGCTAGTCGAAGAGTTAAAAAAAATCAGACGAACTTTTGTGCACGCTGTCGAGAATATAAATTAGATGTGTGACTCCCAATGTACATGTGCGCATGTGCGTAGATCAGTTTCCTGTCTTGTTTGTGATGCAACTGATTTTACTTTTCTTGTGTCTGTCCGGTAATGGAGAAGCGTATCCTCGACTGTAAAGACTTTTACATGGCGAAATCTTGATTAATAGTAACATTCTCCCTTTCTTCCTCCTCACCAACTCACTTTCCAAATCTTTCTTTCTCTCTCTCTCTCCCCCCCTCTCTCTCTCTCTCTATCTATCTATCTCCCTTATGTTTGAACGACATATTCATTTATACCATACAAGGATAC